GCGGGGACCCGGCTGAGCCCCGCGGCCAGTGGCCAGGCCCGGGCTGGGCAGCAGAATGGCACGGAGAGGGTTCTGTATCGGGTGTCCAACTCCAGGGACAGCAGCTGGAATAGGAATCAAATTTTATGAAGCAGTTTAAGAAGTTTTCGAAGCCTGGAGTATTAATAATAACTCTTAGGTTTTAATAAGTTGCAAGCGCAGAGCTCCTGAGCATGTTTTTATATATTTATGCAGTGTATAACTAAGTTAAAAGTAATTATAATCAGAACAGCTTATGACTTTAACCAGCGATTGCCTGGAAGAAGCAATATAAGGGGCGGGGGTGCCCCAGCCCGGGGCAGGATCCGTTTGATGCTCCGCTCGCTCGAGCACTGCACCCCGGTCCTGCACCCCCGCAGCGGGTGTGGGTGAGGGCTCCCCCCGGGCGCTGCCTCCTCCCCTCTTTCCCTGCTCCGGAGACGGGGAGCTCATGGCAAACTGGTCAGGGAGGACTCACCAGCCCTGGTCTGGGAAACGACTCGTCCTGGCGTAGCGATGGTCAGGGCTGGGCTGGCGGGTGCTGGCGCGAGGCGGGTGAGGCTGAGCGAGAGGCTGCGGGGCCAGGGGCTCGTCGCCCCCCAGGAGGGCCATGCCCTGGTCACCCTGGTCACGGCGGGCTGGCCGGGAAGCCGAGTATTTCAATACAGCCACAGAAATGCTGTATCAATATTTAAAGCCAGCTGGCTAGCTTTGCTTTCAGGAAAGCAATCTTTCTGCATCTTTTATAAGGTGAGCCAGGGTCTCCTTACCTGCCAGAAGATATAATCCTCCAAGAGACAATATCCGATACCTTACCTACCTAAACGAGACATCGCAGGAACATCTCCCCTCACAATAGCCTGCTGTACAACCAACAATGCCCCATTTAGAGAGGAACTAATTGTCAGCATCTGCTTTTAATTTAGTTTACTTTTAAGGTGACTGATACCTTGTAAGGTCTTTGGGAACAACAGGGTGGTTCTGTGGTTAAGGAAATGTTAAACATGGAAGGCTGGGGAAGCACAATGGGCCTTTTATACAACTGTTTAAGAACTTTATTTTGCTTTTGTTAGCCAAGTTCCAAGTGAAAGAGCTTGCAAAATCTTACAAGGCTTGAGACTACGTATCTGTAAAATGAGTTCGTGTTACTTCAGCTGCTCAGGGTTGATTTAAAGGCTTCTGGTGTTGCTGGAAACCTTTTCCTTTTTGGGAAGTGCTAGAAAGCTTAATGACAAATGAGGTAACATCTTAGAACAGGCACAGACCTGGAATTTGGTAACAACTCGAATTTTGAATCATTTTTCTAGAGTTTTTGCAAACTTTCCAAAGAACCTTTTAGCGCCATCTCTGCTAAATGGGTCAGATAACACTAGTTTCTGTAGAAGTTTTGTAGGGCTTCTTTCCAAAGGGAATGGAACTGCTTTCTTAAAAAAAACACCTAAAAAGAGCTAAACTGGCAGAGGCTGCCCAGGTGGCTGGAGGGACCCTGGTCCCGGAGGGGTGACGGGAGCCGGGCTGGTCCCAACTGGCCGAGAGGGAGCCGGCAGCAGCCTGGGGGTGCCTGGAGGGGAGAGGGGAAGGTGCTGGATCCAACCCCCCCGGGAAGGCCACAGCTCCGGAGCTTCGAGCTGGACCTTGGGAAAAGGTTTTTCACCTTCCCAGAGGGCTGGCGAGTCTCCAGCCTTAGGGGTCTGTAAGACTTGGGTGAGAAAACTTATCCAGGGCTGGTGACAGACCTGCTGCAGGAGGGAGACGGGGCCAGAGACCTCCAGAGCTCCCTTTCCCTGCTCCCCTGAAGATCTCCATCCAGCCCTGATCCCTCTGCAGCTGCTTGCAGGTCGCCTCTCCCGGTGAGACGGACGTGTCCTCCGTGCAGGGCACGGGGAGGGGGGGTTACTCTTCTTTTTGATGCAATGGCTTTAAAATCCTGCTTTCCTCTTTGCCTGCCTCTCTCCAAACAAGGACATGTTTGTGCTCCTAAAGTGGCTGCTGTGATTAGTGCTGTAATCTCCATATCAGCTTTTACATTTCAAACCAGAGAGGGAAATTAATTCAGTTCTAGGATCCGCTCCTTTCATATATTTTTCCCCAAAACACCATTTGCTCAGCAAACAAATGAACGGGGAAAAGCCGTAACTTTGTTCTCGTCTTAAAGGCGATCAAATACCCCAATTTTTACAAATCCCTTGGAGGATGGAAGTTCTGCTGCATGGGGCGACCTGAAGAGCCGGAGCACTGCATGTGGGAGGAGGAGGAGGAGGAAGGATGGACGGGCTGGCTCAGCTCTAACACAGCCGGTTGGTGAGGACACCGATGCTCCAGGGCCGCATCCGTCGGGAATCGGCTGCGATTTGCTGGGCTGAGCCCACGTGGCTGCAGGTTTGGCATCGAGGGGAGCACACGCGTGACTTACGCTGGTTGGAGCCCTCCGGCGTTTACACCTTTAGTGAGCTGGACCCTTTTTTCCACTACTGTCCATCCAAACACCTTGTTTCATACGAGTCCAGTTTGGGTGCGCGGCGTCGCAGGTGTTTATACGTTGTTTTTTAAGAACCGTCCTCAATCGTTGCAAACCGAAGCGCGCTGGCAAGCAGAAGCTGCTACAGATGTTTCCATGAGAAGGTTGCAGCTCTTCTTTCTGGTTAAGCTCCGCAGGCACATATCTAATTACAGCTTTGTGGCCCGAGATAAGGTTATAGGGGAGGGAAGTGCGTGCTGAAAATCAGTTTAAATGATTTGAGGGCAGCGACTTAGTGCTGGGGTGCTGCCTTTGCACCGAGAGCGGACGCAACATGCTGGCGGCACGCACGGGGACCATGGGGGGTAAAAATGCTGAGGAAACGCTGAAGCTGAGGAAGCAGTCGGTGCTTTCCCTGGGGAGCAGGGAGAGAACTCTGAAGAGCTCCTCGGAAAGCGTGAAGGAGGGCCGGGCGCGGGCCGGCCAGCCGCAGCAGCGTGCCCGACGGCTGGCTCTGCTGCGGGAGCTGGAGATGAACTGGTACCTGCGGGTCTGCGAGCTCTCCCACGAGTACACCATCGCCTACACCACCGGCATGCCTCACAGGTACGTACCCCGCGCTCGCAGCAGCAGCCTGCGCTACAGGAAACGCTGCTGCTGGTGGTGAGGATGGCAGTAAGGACAGCAGAGAGCTTTAGGCTTTAATCTGACTTTTCTGATGATTCGTTTTATTTTTTTTTTTCCTGCACCCGATGGATGTGCATTAGAGCTGAAAATTCTGCAAACTTGTTTCTTAGTTTCCATAACTTCTTCGGTATAAACTACCTGTGGTTACCCAGCCTTATTTCTCATGAGCTGTTTTGTCCAAATGGCCGTAGTTTTGTTTGTATTTAGGTGAAAAGTTGCCGCTGTCGTGCAGGGGCTGTGTGCGTGACAGGAGAAAAGGGCCGGAGAGCCTCGGCTGGGTGCTGCTGGCCCCGGGTCCCCCTTCCCTCCCCGGACCCAGGCAGCGGCAAGCAAGCCACTGGGGAGGGGGAACCTGCAGCTGCTGAATCTCTAATTCCAACGATCTTAAATGTCACAGCTTCCAGAATCTGATCTTACTCCTTTAAAAAAAAGAAAAAAGTGAGGGGATATCGGTATTAGTGGAAATTAGACGTGCAACTCTCTAATCTCCTGCACTGAGTAAGAGCCTTAATGAAATAGGAACCGAAATACGAATTTCCTGGCGTTGCTGTCTCTGTCCTGCTGTCCCCAAACAGCACCAGCGTGGTGACCGGGCGGCCGCGGTCGCTCGGGGCAGTTTCGGGGGCTGGTGGAGGGAGGACGTGGGTTTCACTGCCGCAAGGGACCGGGCTGCTGCCGAGGGGGCTTCAGCATTTTGCCCAGCTCTCCACAGATGCATCAGTACCAGCGGGGATTTCATCTGGGAAGTCAGGGAAAATCTTCCCTAATCCCAGACGGGAGGGGGATGCCTGAGGTGCCTGGCACTAACTGAGATCTGACAGACACGCAGGGAGTAGAAATGAATCAAAATGTCATTAGAATAAAAATTAGAAACAGGATAACTGGAAGAAAAACAAGATAAAACTATGAGAGGAGGAGCGAGTAGTTACTAAGTGCAGAAATCTCTAATGAGCCCAGTGAAGGAAATACGAGGGGGTCTGTAGACTGACTGAGCAGTTTCTTGGGCACGGCGCTCGCGGGGCGCAGCAGCCCCTGCTCAGGCACCCGTGGTCTCACGCAGTGCTGTGCCAGCCAAGCGCCGGGGAGTCACTTCTGGGAAAACTCTTTCTAATGGTGCTGCTCCAAACAAGCCCCTAAAACTCCAGTGAAACTCTCGCATCTAAAAAATTCAGAAGAGCTTGTGGAAATATTTCTTTGCCATTGGTTCACCTCGCATTAGCGATGAGGAGAGAGCTGGAGCTGACAGAGATGAAGCAGAAGGGGGATTTATTTTGGGAGACGGGGAGAGTGAGTATAAGGAGTCCCAGCTGCAGCCCGTGCTCAGCTAAAGCCTCGCTGCAGACCTGTCCGTGGCACCTTCCGCAGAGATCACAGCTACAGCCCCCGCTGTGACACGGAGACAGGGATGGCTGCAGCCAGCGGCACGTCTCCCTCCATGCTGCAGAGTCGAGTTTGGAAACGTCTCCTGCACCCCACCGCTGGTGCTGCGGTTCGGTCACCGCCGGGGGAACGGGGTCCCCGTCTTCAGGCAGCTCTGTGTGGGGGTACCAGGGGGGTAGGACGGGACCCGCCCGCTGCCCCAGCCTGCGATGCTGGGGATATGAAGGTCCGTTAGTGCTCTCATGGCCTCGGGACAACAGTTGCAGAGAAAGAATGGCTGGGTAACGCACGTGGCCATGCCAAACGCCCCTCTGTGACATTGAATTATAATCTTTTAAAATATGTTCTAGGTTTGGGATCAGTCTTTGTTTATCTGCTTTGAAAGATTTAAGGATTAGTTGACTTCATGATACATCCATCACTTGATTATTTAACTTATTTTTCCAGTGTATTTGGGATTGAAATGACAGTCAGAAAATGACTTGATATTGAGAATGGAAGACCCTCAGAAATCTACCTCCGTGGTGTGTGTCGTACGCTGTCGGCATTTCTTCGCTGTGGGCTGGTGCTGGCCGGGGAAGGTCGCTGCCATCCCCCTGGGTGTTATCTTACCTGGAGGGTGCTGGATGCCCTCGGGTGGTGGCTTTGGTGACACAGTGAAACCTGTGCTCTTTCTCCCATCACCCCTCAGGGATGAAGATCCTGAGAACCAGAAACTTTTTGCTTGCTCTTTAGCAGCGGTGAAATAACTGTTGGTTGGTTTTGGGACGTTTATTTTGAGGCGTAGCGCTCAGACCTGTCCTCGCCTGGTGCACCGTGCCGGGAAGCAGCCGGTTCTGTGGAGCAGGAGGTTTCGTAGTGGCTGGTGGCATCTCAGGGGCTTTGCCCATCCATGCAGGGGCTCCTGCAGCAGCGAAAGCTGGTGCTTATTCCCTGCCCTGCCTCCAATGCCCGTAGCTCGTTCCTTTCTCAAGTATTTCCCTTGTCTGTCTGGTTTTATGTTATTTTTTTCCTCTCGGTGTTTGCCTGCTCCGTAGCCTTTGTTTTCTTATTAACTGACAAAGCCCCAGGAGGCTGCAGGTGCTGGGGATGTTCACAGACCAGGTAACCAGAGCTGTGAGAGTTCACAACGAACTATGAGAAAACAAAATGTTTTAATGACTTGCATAAGAGATGCTTGCAGTATTCATCAGCCCGACCTTAGGCCTGAAATAAGCCCTGTGAGAATATTTGTTTTACATTTGTCGGCCTTGGATTGCATCCCAAACAAATATTTCTCATTATCTAAATATAAGACCTGGGAAACAGGGTCGGTGCTCTATTCCCACTGGCAGTCCTTACCCCTTGGAGTACTTGACCATTATAGGTTTCAGGAGATGAACAAGATTGCTGATCTTGGCCAGAATCCATCCTGGGCATCGGTTAAAATGAGCCAGTTGCGATAATATAAAGAATGGCTGGGAGCAAAATAGTGCTCCATAGTCCTGTGGTCCTCGTGGGCAACACAACCCAGCTTAAACCGTCTTACACTGGTGGGGGTGTGATGGCTCCGGGCTCTGCTCCCCACACACTGTTGGGTGGAAGCTCCTGAAGTCCCCGCGCTCCGGCACCTGCTGGGCATCGAGGGCGTCTCTGCAGCCCCGCGTGTGGACCATGCACTTGTACAAGCCCTCCTGCGCAGACATCCCGCCCCACAAGCCCAGCCTGCAGAAGCCGAGCGAAGGGCTCCTCCTGAAAGGCCGAAAGCAAAGCGCGGCCCCCCGGGCCCGCCCGCCGGCCGAGCGCTGCCCGGTGAAGCCCAGCCCAGCCGCCGACCTGAAGCAGCTGGAGAAGTTCCTGCACCTCCATGGGCTGTCGCTGCACGAGACCGTCCGGGCCAAGACGGGGATGAAGTACAGGTACTGGCTGGGTGCTCGGTGCTGGGTACTCGGTGCTGGCTCTGGCGGCAAACAGCTAACACCACGGGAAATTTGACTGAGCGACCCGTGCGCACCTGCAGGCAGGCTTACAAAAAACCTGAACGCCTTCCCGGGTTTAGCAGATTTTCTTCTCTGACTTTCTGAGCAGGGTAAGAATTACCGCGACTTTGAGCAATGGTAATTGCGTGTGACCGAGTCTCGTAAAACTTTGATTTTTTTCCTTTGTAAGCTAAACTCAGTTAACTTCATTGTTTGTGCCCATCTACTGAACTGCCTCTTTCGGATTTGGGTAGAAGTATTTACTCTTTCCGGTGTTTTAATGAAAACTCATTTATTTATGTGCGTTATGGCTGGACAGCGGCGTGACGACATGGAGGACAGAGGTGTTCTGACTGTGGCTGGCGCTTTGATGCAATGTCTGTCCTCACTCTGCCCTAAAACTGAAGCAAAGGGACTGAAAGCCTGAGAACCAGAGTCTGGCTGAGTTCAGGCTGGGAAATAGATGTTCTGTGTGTGCGAAGGAGAGGGACCTCCTCCATGCAGGGAGCTGGGGCAGCCTGGGGACGGGGGGTGTAGGCTGTGGGACGACGACGTCCGTGTGCTCAGTCTCTCAGTTGTCATTTTGATTTGTTTCTGAAGAGGTCTATTTTAAAAGGATGACATCCCGTATGGGACGTAGATACATTCTCTGTGCTTCTAATAAAAGAAAATTTTCTTCAAAACATTTGCTTTCCCTAGAGATTGACTTTTGCCCAAGGCCAGTCTGAGCTTAAAATTGAAATAAGGCAACACGTTTATTATTTTTATGGAAACAGCGCAGTTGTGTCACAGCTTTAGCTGCTGGCTGGGGAAAATTGTTGTTTGGAGACACTGTCCAGGGGGGAGTGAGAGTGTGAAAAGTGTTTTTGAGCCAGCGGCAGGAGAAATGGCAAAGGGCTTTGTACCTCTGCTCTGCTGGCACCGAGGGAATCCTTGGAGCAACTTGGGGTTACACCTTGAAAGCTGACGGAAATGTGTAGAGGACTGAGCCCGCAGCGTTCAACTGATGAAAAGGGAAAATGTCCAAAGGCAGCGGGACGGCATCCCGGGGGCGCTGCGCTCAGAGCAGAGCTCTGACAGAAGCAACCCCTGGTGTCCCCCCCCTGCTCACCCGGGGGGACACCGGTGTGAGATTCTGACTAACTGGGCTTGTTGGATCTGGAAGCTTGCCTCCCTTCGAAGGAGAAATTCTTTTGCTCCGCTTCTGATGATCCTAATCCTACGAGGCAGTTGTGTTTGGAACGGTTGGTGTCGGTACACACACGAAAATTCCCATTTACCCAATTTCTCTGCTAATTCTGCGCTTTCTATGGTGTTGGTGCCCCCAGACATGGTTTAACACCTCCTGCGCCCTCGCTGAGAAGCACAAGTAACGTTGCAGTCACACAGCGTTCCCGCAAAGGGGTTCTGATCTGGTGTCTTAAGCTTCCTCCGCAGAAGATTATCCTGCGAACCGCCCTGATGTACAGACACCTCCCTGAGACTGAGTCTGGCTGCTGCTGAGTCGAAAACGCGTTGGCCAAAACTCAACAGCAACGTTCATCTCTGCTTGCTGCTGCACAGAAAACGTGCCCGGGCTGG